ACGCTTAAAGTCCCTTATATATAAAGAAAAGACACATAAGAACATAGTAAGGTTCAAGTTTAAGGTTCAGGTGGGGAAAGAATGCAAGAAACCCAATATGCAGATTTCCAAAGAAAAGAGTGGGATCACCAATCTTCAAATATATGAGAAAGTAAGGAGAGTGCAAGTTAAGAGAACCGGAGATTGGAAAATTGGGTTCCATCAAAAGAAAAATATATATACTATATGTATATATTTAGATTGTAGATATATATATATATATATTAGCTTAATGGCTTCCTTTAGACAATACAAGAGTTCTGTAAAAAAAAAAATTCCAAGTGTTTTATAATTTTTTTTTATAATTTTCATAAAATAAAATGGTACGAGGTATAGTTGATAATTTTAAATGTTCATCTTTTTTCTCCTTTCTCCGTCTGCATGTCTGCAGGTTCTCTTTTTCTTGCTTCCCTTTCCCCGTCCATTTATGGCGCTGCTTTTAAAAGAATGTTTACAAGGCGCTGTCTTTGCGCTATTATAAGACAATGCACGATCACCCTTTCTTTGAAAAGATGTCCCCCTCTCTGTTTACGATTTTGTTTTGCTTAATTGTAATTGCTGCATATTCTGTCCTAATCGCATTTTCTAGGTCACCACTCCTTTTTATTTGCGGCGAGGGAGCAAGAGCTTCCCTGCTTTGAACCGCACATTTTTACTTTCCTATAAAAGGAGGGTTACAATTCCAACAAAAGGATAATCAAGTGACCTGTTCAGAGGTAATTTTGTTGTAGGATTCAACAGAGAAATATCCTAGAGTCTCATTTCCCTGTTTGTGAGAAGATTAGATGGTAGGAAGAGGAGAGTAGATATGAGGATAGGAGTTTGTATAGGAGTGGGGTATCAGGAATCTTTTGTTAAAAAACACTCTCTTTGTTTCCCAGTCCAGCAGAATTCCTTAGGTAGTATCGCATTGTTGTGCACCGCTGCATGCAGAATATGGAGTTGTCCCTTTTTGACAGATGTGGAGCCGGGCCCATCCAGAAAGGGCTCCGATCGCCAAGTGGAGAGGGTGTAAAACCGGATTAGTTATAGAAATATTAGCTCTTTGTTACTCCTATTTCTTGACTTAGTACCCCGGCCTTGGTTACTGTTTTTTAAGAAAGGAATCTAGCTAATTAAGCACGGGGTTCAGGGCCGCTTTGCCTTCCCTCCCTCCTATGGGAAGAAACCTCTCTCAGCGTCCACTGCAAATAGTGCATAGAGCTTTCTGAGCAGAGCTCTGCTCTCTTAAGCTGAAGGAGTGCAACTGATTTTTCAAGACTTAAATTCTTTTTTTCATAAATCTTTTTTGTTTAAAATAATATCAACGGAACTAAAAATTATCATGATCTGTGAAAAATCGAATGAGATTTTTAACATTTAGCCCATATTTTTTATATTGTAATTAGATAGAAATAGTGCATTTTTTCATTGGTCTTTTCAATAAATAAATTAATAGATAAAGAGATTAAGATTTTGATCATCTTCTTTAGAAAAATATACATACTATCTTATAGGTTTAGCTTACAGCCCATGTAGTCATAAAAAAATACAAATACACATAAGAAGATAATGAGTTGCTTAATATATATTTTATTCACACATGGCATTGACGTTCTGTTTCCGGTTCTGTGACGACACAAATCAGATGTTTCCGGTACACTATGTCAGATGACAAATCTGCCAAAAATATTTGTTATTCAAGCAATGAACAGATATGTTATTTCTAATATTATATTTAAATACAAATATATAAAAGATAAAAATATACTTTTTACTTTACGTTACAAGGAGAAGACTTTAAATGACTGATAAAAGTGATTTCAAGTGGCTTTTAGTTAAAAAGGAGGGCATGTTTGTCCTTTTTAAATTGTGCCTTTTTAAATCCCTACAAGAGTAACAATGAGGAAGTTGTATTTTAAATGTAATGAATTCTTATAATTTTCTTCATTTTCTTTGAAGTAACTTTTTCCTATGATGGATTCAAATGCACAGATTTTTTTCATGGTGTTACATTTTTGAATTCCGTTTTTGCTGTATTTTCAGTAATTTAAATAAGCTTGAATGTAAAAATATATATATTTCTGACATGTGTTTAAACATATCCTTACATTCCAACTGTCAAATACACACCACTTACATACACACATTGAACACAATTCTCTACTTTGTTCAAGTAAAAAATGTATGAAATATTTGTACTTTCAAAGTTTTATTCAATTCTATTCTCCGATGTTAGGTAATAGAAAAAGAAAGTTTAGACTATCTTTACTTTAAAATTACATTACATTAAATTGTGAAAATTGTTTCTCGCCTTACAAATCTCTCAAATAACGAAAAACAGATTCCTAATACGTACCTTCTATTTCTCAGCCCCCCTCCCCCCCCCCCCCCTTCGGCCATCTAGCTTTAGAAATTGGACAAATTTGTATCGTCATCAAAGTTTAGTAATAATTTCTAACATGTTTTTATTCCGAGAAAAGTAAGTCCAAAAATCAGTAAAAAGATATGTTCATACCAAAGTAAACACACAAAAATGCAAATACATTTTCTGGAGGTTAAATGGGGACTTTTCTCATGACAGTGCATGATATTAAAACAAACGGAAAACTACATCTGTTTTTAAAACCTTTTAATTAACAAAACCAATTAATACTAAGAATTTAAGAAACGAATCTTAAAAATTTCCACAATATTTTTATTAAGCATAATTTCATAATTTTGATGATTTATTAATCATTTAAAAGATTTAAATTCAATAAAGATTTAAAAGAATTTAGTCTTTGCCACAAATTCGAATTTTCTAATTTTTATATCTGTGCAACCTAACGAGTTAAACTTTTGATCATCCAAACTTAGATTACTTAATCTAACAGAATTCATAATATGAAATATTAAGGTCTACCTTTTGTAGCAAATTAGGATATGAGAGTGTGTGGCAAAGACTTAATTTCTTTAATTTTAATTTATTATACTTTTGTGCGGCGCAATACCAAGGATTAAACTTTGCCCGGACATGCTTAATTAGTATTTGTTTAGCGTGACTCACGAATTCAGAGAATTTTTAAATTCCACGCCCCTCTCACCTAATAAGCCTCTATCGGATATTGAAGACCCAAACTTCTATTTGTACTGTTTTAAAAAACCTAATTATAAAAAATAAAAATTGACCAAAATGCTCCATCTAGTATTATTGTTGTGTTTGTATTGATATTACAATAAACATCTGTTAAATGTATTTTTTTGCCTTTTGCAGTTTTCACGACTTAGAAACGTTCCAAAATTACATATCATTTATTGATGTAAAAAAAATAAAGAAATTATTAATCATTTAGAACTAATGCTTACCAAATATTTTACAGTTTGAACAAATGTTTACCAAATATTATACAGTTTGAACTAATGCTTATCAAATATTATACAGTTTGAAATAATGTTTACCAAATATTAAACAGTTTGAACTAATGCTTATCAAATATTATACAGTTTGAACTAATGTTTACCAAATAATAAACATTTTGAACTAATGCTTATCAAATAGTATACAATTTGAACTAATGTTTACCAAATATTATACAGTTTGAACAAATGCTTACAAAATATTATACAGGTTGAACAAATCCTTACCAAATATTATACAGGTTAAACTAATGCTTACCAAATATTATACAGTTTGAACTAATGTTTACCAACTATTATACAGTTTGAACTAATGCTTATCAAATATTATACAGTTTGAACTAATGCTTAACAAATATTATACAGTTTGAACAAATGCTTACAAAATATTACACAGGTTGAACAAATGCTTACCAAATATTATACAGGTTAAACTAATGCTTACCAAATATTATACAATTTGAACTATAATGATTACCAAATATTATACAGTTTGAACTAATGCTTACCAAATATTATACAGTTTGAACTAATGCTTATCAAATATTATACAGTTTAAACTAATGTTTACCAAATAATAAACATTTTGAACTAATGCTTATCAAATATTATACAGTTTGAACTAATGCTTACCAAATATTATACAGTTTGAACAACTAATGCTTATCAAATATTATACAGTTTGAACTAATGTTTACCAAATATTATACAGTTTGAACTAATGCTTATCAAATATTATACAGTTTGAACAAATGCTTGTCAAATGCAATATAAAGTTAGAACTAATTAAAACCAAATCTTATCCTAATTGAACCCAGATAAATGTTATCCATCTAGAACGAATTCTAGCCAAATGTTAAAGCAACGCTGACTCAATGTTAGGCAGTAAGCAAGAACGCTTATCTAATGTCAACCAGGTTATAGAACGCTTCTCTAATGTTAACCAGATTATAGACCTCTGAACTAATGTTAACCAGATTTGAGAACGCTTATATAATGTTAACCAGTTTATAGAACGCTTATCTATTGTTAACCAGATTATAGAACGCTTATCTAATGTTAACCAGATTATAGAACGCTGAACTAATGTTAAACAGATTATAGAACGATTATCTAATGTTAACCAGGTTAACCAGATTACAAAACGCTTATCTAATGTTAACCAGATTATACAACGCTTCTATAACATTAACCAGATTAGAGAACGCTTATATAATGTTAACCAGAATATAGAACGCTTATCTAATGTTAACCAGATTATAGAACGCTTATCTAATGTTAACCAGATTATAGAACGCTTATCTAATGTTAACCAGATTATAGAACGATTATCTAATGGTAACCAGATTATAGAACGATTATCTAATGGTAACCAGATTATAGAACGATTATCTAATGGTAACCAGATTATAGAACGATTATCTAATGGTAACCAGATTATAGAACGATTATCTAATG